GCCCGGGAGGAATTGGGGGGCAGCGCTGTCCCCTTCCTTAAGCTGCACACCCCCCGATGTGCAATTGGGGGTGCTCCCAAGGCTGCCAGCATCACCGGGGGCTCCCCACCCTCCAGCCACCCCATCGGCTACAAACCCAGCAAGGAGGAGGACGGACCCAGTTCTTGTTCCCAGTTTCAACTGGGAGACATAGGGATAGACCCTCTAGAAGAGCCCCCCCCCCCAAGCTGAGGAACCCATCCCAGGCTCTCACCTCCCCGGATACGGCTTTGTCCGCACTCTTCTTGCTGGGGGTCTCCGGGCCCGTCTGGGTCTTGGCAGGTACCATCTCCGGAGCTCGGGAAGGGTTATTGCTCTTGGAGGGGGGGGTCTGGGTCTGGGGGGGGCTGTGCCCAAAGCTGGGCATGCCCAGCGTCTCGGTGGCGGCCGTCAGGTGGTGGAGGCTCACTGGGGGGCTGGTGGGCATCTCCAAATCCAGCCCTTTGCTGAAGTCTGTCTCGGGGGCCACCTTCTTGGGGGACTGGCTGAGGTTGCTGGGGGAGGTCCACACCCCCTCGTCCACTTGCCTGCCAGGGACAGAGCGAAGGCGCTGGGTGGCTGCGTGGCACGGGGGGGGGCGGGTGCCGGCACACAAATTACTGCACCCTCTCCAAGCCACGCCACAAAAAAACTTGCTCTCCTGCAACTCTGCATCACGGGGCTGAAAGGTTTAGGTTCTCTGACGTCTAGGAAGGGGTTGGAATTGATGTACAGCCTCTCTTGGGGGAGCACACGAATGAGCTCCTCTACCTGGATGTCCGTTTTCATGAACCTTGTAGGAAATTGGATCTCTCCGAATCCTGCCCCTCTGTCAGATCTGCTTGAAATTGCCTTTGGAGTCAGGAGTTATTAGGGCCGGGGAATGACAGGGAGGCAGATTCAGACACTGCGTGATGATACAAGCTCATTTCCGCAGAAAACCAGGCTAGCAATGAGCCCGAGGCGAGCCCGGCGCCGCGGCTCTGCTCCTGCAGCGTGGCCGAGCTGCGAGCCATCCCGAAAGGTCTCCTAATGGGAAGAGGCAGGTGGGCTCGGCCACGGCGCACGGCCCAGCCTGCCACCACCATTTCATCTGCAAGATGATTTGTCTCCAGCAGAACATTTTTCTGCTCCTCAGGAAAGAGATTTCTGATCACGCCGAGGGCTGCCTTTCTATCTGGATATACGACCACGCTTTTTTTCAAGGTGATAAGAGAAAGTCGGTTTAGGAAGAGGGGTTCCCATAGACACACTGGAAAGGACCGAGGGCGTTTTTAAGTTCCTTAGCAGAAGAAGAACGGGCCTTTTTTTCCAACAGCCCTGGGGATTTGCATGGTAACGCAGAGCGGACACCGGCGCACACATGGGGGGCACAGGGACCACTGAAGGGACCGGCTGTGTCCTCCAAGGTGCTCAAGGGCTTGGTGCTCACCTGCGGATCTGGGCGAGCGTGTCCGTCACCGTCTTGCAGCGCTTGAGCAGACCATCCAGACGGTTCGGCTCCTCCTTGAGGAACTTGACGGCTTCCACCTCCACCCGCAGCACCACCCGCATCTTGCTCTGCAGGCTGGGGAACTGGGCTGGGGTGGGAGAGTTGGGGGGTCACCAGGGCCCTGCTGTGCCGGGGAGCCAGGGCACCCCCCCACCCACCAAAACCACCATGGCCATCATACCCACGATGGTACGGTGCAGGATGAATCCTGGGGAGTCTGGGCTGGTGTCTCTCCTGCTCCCCATGCCCACCGTCCCTCCACCCGCAGGCACCAATCTTAGCCCCGACGGTGCCCCCTCCCCATCCATCGGCACCAAACACCTCCCCGGAGCCGGGGGCTTGGCAGTCCGGACCCTGGGACTTGGTGGCAGGGACTGACATGGAGCAGGTTGCTCCTGGCTCCCTGCCTGGTCCTCTGCTCGCCATCCCGGCTGCTCAGCATCAGCCTGACCTTACAGAAAGGCTGCAGGAAAGCAGAGCAGCTCCTACCTCTGCCCTGCGGCCCCCAGCCCTTCTCACGGCCACCCGTGGGCCCCCTTCTCACAATCTCAGTGGCTGCTGCCAAATCATCGTTTATTGTCTGCCTTGGCTCTGGCAGGCAGGAGCTCTGCCACTTTGAATCGAGGCGCTGCGTGTCTGTTTGTGAAAGGCAGGATGGGGACAGCCCGGGGATGGGGATGGGGATGGGGACAGCCCGGGGATGGGGATGGCGCCGGGACGGGGACGGGCGGGGGAGGGGGGAGGG